ATTGGCTTCATTTTACATTGTTTCACCAAAGTTCCAAAAACCTATTGATGACAGTAAATGAGAACTTGCCATATACTAGTTGATCAGCTTTAACATATGTATACACCCATGAAACACTAATTACAGTCAAGTTAATGAACATTTCTCTCCCTGTCAAAAGTGTTATAGTACCTCTTGTAAATACCTCTGTATTCTTCTTCTGTGGCCATCCTCAGGCAACCATTAATCTGCTTGGGTCACTAGAGATTATTTTACATTTTTCATAATTTTATATACTTAAAGTTATATAATGTTTCCTCTTTTCTCTGAATTTTTCTCTAGTATAATTATTTTCAGTTATATCCACATAATTTGTGCAAAAACATTCTCTTTTTATTGCTAAGTAGTAGTCCATTGGATAAATATAGTATAATTTATGTATTTATTCAGCTGTTGATGAGCATGTGAGTAATTACCAGGTTTTTTCTATTAAAAATAAAGCCTGTATGAATATTTGTATAACAATCTTTGCATGCACCTATGATTTCATTTCCCTCTAGTTTAAAATCAATTAACTTACAATTCAACATTAGCAGATAGGAAAAAAAGAGCAAATTAAATGCATAATAAGCAAATAAAAAGAAATAATAGAGACCAGGAAATAAAAATCAATGAAACAGCCCTGGCCATTTTGGCTCAGCAGTTAGAGCGTCGGCCCGCGGACTGGAGAGTCCCGGGTTCAGTTCCCGCTAAGGGCATGTACCTCAGTTGCATTTTGTCCCTGGCCCTGGTTGAGGTCATGTGGGTGGCAACCAGTCGATGAATCTCTCTCACATTGATGTTTCTCTCTCTCTCTCTCCTCCTCCCTTTTTTCCTCCCACTCTATCTGAAGATAAATGCAAAAACGTCCTCGGGTGAGGATAAAAAAAAAATTTTTTTTTTAATTAATGAAACAGAAAAACAATGGGTAAAAATTGATGAAAAAATCTGTGGGTTGTTGTTTTTTTTTGAGAATATAATAAAATAAACTTTTAGCAGACTGACCAGTTAAAGAAGACACCAAAAGATTATATATATATGACTTCATCAAAATGTAGAATTTCTGTTCTTCAAAAAAATAGTGCTAAGAGAATAAAAAGAGAAAACTCAGACTAGGAGAAAATATTTACAAACTATATATCCAATAAAAAACTCGATCCAGAGTATACAAAAAACTCTTAAAACTCGATAATAAAACAAACAACTCAAGTAAAACAAGGCTAAAGATTTGAACAGTCACTTTACCAAAGAAGGTATACAAATGGCTCATAAGAACATGTGAAGATGCTGAACATCAGGAGTCATGAGGAAAATGCAAATCAAAACCACAGCAAGACACAATTACATAAGTACTAGCATGTCTACAGCTAAAAAGATTGGCCATGTCTCATGTTGGGAAGGATGTGGAGACTGCTGGAGGGGATGCAAAAATGGTACAATCACTTTAGAAAACAGTTGGACAGTTCCTCAAAAAGCTAAGCACACATCTATTAAATAATCCAACCATCCCACTCCTAAATGTTTACCAAAACACAGCTTTAAATCTGCAAATTTGAATAACCCGACCATTGGAGAGAGGTTCAAATTTGTGGTTTGATTTTCTTCACAGGAAGGTGTTATTCAGATGTCTAATGAAAAAAATATTACCGTTACTGTTGACATGAGTTTTCCTGTTGCTGACTGGAGAGCCATGTGCAGCCTCTACGTTGGAGGAACATTTCGTGTCTTTCATGAGTCACATTATTTGAAGAATGTCCTTCATTTGACATTCATTAAACACCCATTCTTATTAGTACCTTTCCCCTCTATGCTTGCCTAGGCTCTAACAAACAAAAAAACTTCTTAACTCAATCACTCTTAATCTCCCTTTTAATATACCATTATTTTGCATATTATAAAGTGTGTATTTCTAATTATCTAAAATCTCTTAATAGCTCAACTACATTTGAGATATTTTATTTCCCTGGCCTGGCTCAGTTCTCCCATTATGGTCTCTAGTTGATATTTTCTCATGGAAAAAGAAATTTTAATTAAATTCATCTTCATTTTGGAGTCTTTATGACAAAATTTCAGCAATTAGGAACCTGACTGATATTTCAAACCTAAAAACAAATTTCACGCCTCTTTCCTTTTGTGTGGTTTTTCCTCCAGACACGGACGGGCGGCAGCTGGATTTAGAGATCAGCCGACGTGATGTGAGAATCACATTGGGTCAAGCCTCTAGCATGAGACCAGGGAAAATCAGCTTTCTCTCCAGTAAAAACAGAGCAACATGTTTTCAAATGTCGCAGCCTCCAGCTAACCCTGACGTTTCCCTTTGGTTGTGCAGTGGTCCAGCTCACTCTCTCCTGTTGTGTCGCAGCGTTTGTTTCTGCCCAGGCAGCACCAAGACCCCCCCCACTGCAGGCACTGGCAGGGGCTTCCCTTGCACTGGGGAGATACACCTGACTTCACAGTAAGAAAGGGTGTCTGATCTTTTCAGCTCCCTTTGTTTTCTCTCTCCAAGTTTTACAGCCCTTTTTATCTGTAAATTAAAAAAAATTGTACATACATTTTCCAAATGTGCTGCATAACACAACTTCATACATTTAGAAAGCTGACAGCTGTCCTCTAGGGTATAGTCTGACAGCCTAAAATCCAGAAATCCATCATTTAGATATAGTGATACTAGGCGGTCGCTCCCGGTATGTATTGCAGCGCCCAGGAACCACTTATTTGAGATATGCCATCGTAACTCTGATAGATTAAAGCACCACATCCAGGAAACAATTGTGTGTGGGGGGGAATGCTATCATAGATCTGCCATGTTACAGCCCCAGAATCCACCAGCCAACCGGCAAGTCTGTGCTCAATCGGAGCTTCCAGAAGCCTGAGAAGCAGCCGGATGACAGTTCTGTTCTTCAACAGCCCATTATGAACTAATTAGCATACATGAATTGCAGATTTGAAGCATTAAAGTGATGTACAAATCATTAATTTTTTGTCAAATCCATGTCACCCTTGTGTATGCCTTTCTATTTTAATGTTGCATGACAGTGAAAAGAGGTACAATCCTCCGTATATAAAGAGGAGAGATTTGGTGTAGCTGATATAATGAGATCTATTTAAACATATGTATTTTTCAGCTTTGAATATATCTGCCTGGAAAAAAAAAAAAAAAGCTATACTTGTCCCATTAGGGTTAATTGTGAAAAGATGTTAATATATTCAAAACCCCAGGGGTAATTCTACATGTTGTCTGAATGAAGCAAGGGCTGTAAGATCAACTTCACATCTAAGCTTTCTTTTTAAAAAGTCCTCTTTTTGATGAATAAAAAGAGCCATCCATTCGTTCTCATTGATGGTGGAAGGTGTAACTGGTTAGAATGAGAGCTAAGCTTTTAGGTGTGTGGGCTCTGATGTAACATCTATTTTTGTTAACCTGATGCCAAACTTAATTCATAAAGATGTAGAATGCAATGCCATGGAAGAGGGAAAACAACATCAAAGTCGATTTTTCCTTCTGGAAAGGCTTCTAAATATTAATTTGTGGTTTTCTGCATTGTTTCTGTATATTTAATTACTGAAGCTATTTGTGCTTAAACAAATGCTTGGTGTTTCATTTGAATTTCTTTTTTCTTATTAACAGTGGTGTCACAATGCTTAATTTGTTAGCCTGCAATAGTTTCCATGGTAACAGTCTAATGTTATATATAAATATGTATGTGGTATATATATGCGTGTGTATTCTAAATATGTACTAGAGGTGATTATGGTTTCATTTCAAAAGCACATCTCAGAAGACTTAGCTCTCCAGGAAACCTAACTAAAAATGCAGACATACCTTGTAACGTGAGCCTAGAGCTATGGCCACAGACTTGGTCCCCTCCCGGCCTGAGGAGAACGGAAGTTCTCAGGAAGGGGGACAGGCTTGCCTGCTCTCTTCTCGCAAGTTCTCTCCTGCCTGAGAGCAGTCACCCAGGCCCAAAGCCATTCTCTATGGACCTTGTTCTTTTGCCTTTTCCCACTTCCTTCCCCACCAACTTTTTAATCACATAAAATCCAGGCAGAATAAAAACCATAGGCAAACTCCAGGGGGAGGTGTCTTTCCAAAGGAAATTACAATAAGGAGACTGAGAGATGGCATGGAGGAAGGACTGGGAAAGGGTGAGATCATTTGTTCCATTTGTGTTCTTGAGAGAGAGGAATTTATAATAAAGAAAAACATATACATATGTACCACTACCACCAGAGTTAGGCATTTCACGTACCTCTCAATAAATATTTAAGTAGATATTATGAGGAAGCTGAGGCTCAGAGTGGGTGAGTTAAAATTGTCACAAACGCTAGATTTCCAAAGCCTATATTCTTTGTACAATGTCATCGTATTGCCCCGGGCCTTCTTCAGTGCAAGGTACCAGAGCCCTAAACCCACTCCTTCCAGATGAATTAACACCCTACCCAGTCACCCAGGCAGTGGAAACTGGGGCAATGACAATGATACGGAGATAACTTTGGCAGTAAACTAAAAATAAACTTGATGGAAGAGGAGAATAGCAAGACCATCATTGCCAGAAGGTGTTATTTTAAGTTTTGTATAACAACAACAACAACAAAAACTAACTACAGTGGCTTAAGTAAATAGGATTTATTTTTTGTAAATCATCACATGTCCAGAGATGAGCAAAAATAGGTTGGCGTGGGGCTCTGCGAGGCTAGCAGGGACTCAGCAGTGAAGCAGTTGCCTGTCTTTCCACTGTGCCACCCTTAGTATGAGGCTACAGTTTTTATGCTCATGAAATGACTGCTGCCCCACTGGACACCACAACTGCATCCCAGGCTGAAAAGAGAGAAGCGAAAACAAGGTAAATGAATAAACCATTGGGCTCTCTCTCTGTAGGGAAAATCACAATTTTAATATTGGATGCCACATGCTGTGCTTTGACTCGTGTGGTTTCCTTGGTGTTAACCAGCAAAGTGTCAAATGGTCTCTGGGAACTGTGCAAAATACAAAACGCTTCACAAATATGTGTGCCATCCTTGTGCAAGTGCCATGCTAATCTTCTCTGTGTGACTCCAATTTTAGCACATATGCTGCCAAAGTAAGCGTGAGCTTGTCTCTTTCAGCAATCAACAATAATTTTCAGGAAGCCCTCACCAAAAGACTGTGCTTGCTCATATGTCATTGGCCAGTCTTGTGTCAAAAGCCATCCCATGGAGGCAAGAAAGTCTGTGGAAGTGAGCCTAATTTTAACCGAGCCTAATGTTGCTCTTAGTAAAATGAGGGTTCTATTAAAAAAGAATGACAAACGGTTATTGGGTAGGCAATAAACAATGATAATCTTCTGTCATAGATATCTCCTTGTGACTTCATCAAGAATATAGACCAATGTGGAGAAAGAGACCCTTTTCATTAAGGAAAAACATTGAGGGCATATTCTGGCACATGGTTAAACACCAGCTGGGACCTTACTTATTTTCTTCTGTTTCTTGAATCTTCACTTTTCATTCTCAGGCTCTTCCTTTATAGACTCCTTCCAAGATGGAGTACTGAGTAGCTCCCTTACTAGTATTTAACCATTGGGCTGTTTGCTTCGTGCCTCTACAACCCTTGTCAGATTATAACAGCGTGTACAGTTTGAGCGAGGGGGATTTGCAGAAGCTGTGTAGTAGAGTGGTCAAGAGCTAAGGAGTCACACAGAATGGAGTTCAAACTTGAGCTTCACAATAGTCAGATCCAACCATAGAGTCTGAGGGGACTGCTAACCCAGGAGAGCTCTATGCATGTATTGAACCCTACCGCATTCCTCTGGGTCTATTGTCTGGAGATCTACAAGTTTATTGGCTCCTAATTGCCTACAGGCACTTGGGTGACATACACACTTAAAGGGCAAAATCGGAACTAGAGCCCTGTCCTCTGACTCCCAAATCTGAATATTTTACCAATATAGCATCCCAAATTGGTTAATCCTGCAAATAGTCCAAATTCATTTCCTTAAGAGGTAACCTTTTCTAAATTAGCCTATTAATATCATAAAAACTTTTCTTACTTAGAATACAAATAATAAATTTAGTTGCTGATATTTATCTTGGAGCAGCATGTAAATAAGGTAAGGCAGGATTAAAAAACAGAACATCACATAATGAAAGTTTGGATTTATAAGAGATAATCAAATGTAAAATAATGAATGATAATTAGAAAATTCAGAGAAAATACGATAAATGTTGACTGAGAAGTTCAAAGCAAACCTTATTTTATCATCTTTCCGCTATTTGACCCTACAATGTCCGTATTTTGCTGTCCAGCTCTGATTTCATAACCATTTATGTTCATCTCTTTGATAATTTATTTTTTATTAATAAGCACCCACTCTAGGACTTCTAATTTATTTTTACATGGGAAATTGTAGGAAAACAATGAAAGAGCTCCCAAATATGATCACTGGTTGTAGTCACATTCTTTACACTTTCAAAGAAGCTCAGACAGATTCTGCTATGGGGTCTGAAGAAATAAAAAAGGTCTACACTACTATTCCCATGATCCTTAGGAAGGCTAAGGCTTGCCTTCTACTCACACAGAGGGGGGGGGGCCTCTGATTCATCCACTTGCTTTATGGCTTTATATAAATGTGGTCAGGTGCTCTTGGACTATTCTTCTGAGGGAACATGTGTGTTCTCGTGTTCAATCATTGTAGAAGTGAGGGCTGCAATGGCCAATACAGCATGTTGAGACCTCATTTTACTGGAGAGTGTGGTTCAGTAAGAATGAGCCACTGATTGAAGCCAAAACTGTGATGAAATTGGTGGGTTTTTTTGAGGGAGTGACGAGGGATGGGTAGAATTATTTTCTATCTGAAGAAACTAGTACTCCTCACAAAACAGCGGTATATGAGTATCTTACCCATTCTCCACCTGTGAAACAAAGATAATCTTTTAGACTCCTTCATAGAAATGACAAAATGAAAGCTCCTATAAAAGGCTTAGTTAGTCAGTTCTTAATGATAATCTAGTGAAGTCTCTATTGTTTGATCTTCTGGGAATTAAAACTTACTGGATCTTCCTTTAAACTCTCCACTAGGAATTGCATATGGCTGCTACATTCTACGCAATTAAACTTCCTGGAAAGGAGGAGGCTGGGAAATTATAGACCACTGAGTTGAGAGATGAAAACATAAACAACTAATAAGTAAATGGATGAAATAGTTAAGTGGTGATCCATCTGAGGACTGGCTCTTTCTCTATTAAACCTGATATCAAAGGATGAACCCCATGATAAGGAGTTCAAAAGTACCCTAAGCTTGAAACGGCTTTGGAAAAAGCAAGCTGGTTTAACTGATATAATTATTGTGGATTCATTGAAGTCTGAACAGCAAAGTATTTAAAGCACTGTCAGGAAATATTAAATCTTCCTCTGATACTAGGATTGAAAAAAGGTAAGACAGCTCATTTTTACATTAAAGCAGGATTGGGCCTGATTAGTATTTGAAATATTTTTTCCCAATTTTCAGCAGCATTAGATTTTGGCTAGTGAAATATAAATGAACATCAATTGTATATGACAACTGCTGATCCAAACCACTTAAAATTCCCTGAATGTCCTCTTCCCTCTTAGACTGGCTGCCAGAGTCTCATCATCAAAGGCAGCTCAGTGGAGGAGGCCCTGCCTGAGCTGTGAAGGGTTAGAGAGATAGCCCTTTGTTTTGTGAGAACATGAATCACTATCAGGGCCATTACAACATTTCAAGCTAGGTCACAGTACTCCAAGTCATTCTGCATTTCGCTCAGAGTCCGGGAGCTGGAGACTTGTTGCTGTCTTTTTGTTTCAGTGGAAATCAAATCTCCTCCAGTCACCACTCCCTCCTGCTTCAGCCCCAAACCAAAGCATTTAAGAGAACAATATAAGCATCAAACGTTAAAGCAACCATGATAAAGATGACCAATTTACCAGGTCAACATTTTGCTCATGATTTAGAAAATGAAAAAAAGACTCAAAATATTTGAGCTATTCTTCAATTTGTCCTTGGAGGGAAATTTAATCATGGTTAGCCATTGGCCATCATAATGGGTTCCTTGAAGCAATTTCAGAGGCCAAAATAACCAGTTCATTATATACAAACTAATTTAAGAGATGAAGTTGATTTGGCTTTTTGGAATCAAGGTCCTTATCTTTCCATTTGTGTAGTTTGAAAATACGGTAACCGGATTCACCTTAGACTCCAAGTTCCCTCCAACTCTCTCCTCCCCCTATCCAGACTTGATTTCAAGATCTTATCTAAAAAGATCTATTAGAACAAAGACCTGACTAATTAAGCAACTAACCCCAAGACTATGCTGTTAGCCTGGGGGGACTTGTTTTATTCCATTAATTTGAGCTGTTACTTTATCTCCAGCAGTAATTGGTGTGTGAAGTATATCTCTACCCACTTATATGAGAGGAGGAGATACCACCATTTACTCTAATTTGAACTCAGTTTTATATCATGGTGTAGACTGGCTCATCCTACATTTTTCTGTGTTAGTGATCTTGGACCATGAATCCCTTAACATATTTTGAAAGACTGCTCTATCTTTATCCATTACCCATGAAAATGTTTGGTGTTTGGCTAAAGCTGTAGCTGATAGAACTAAATGCTTAGCAGATTTTGGATTGCTTCTGCTCTCCTCAGCCCAGTCCGCTCTCTGCTTTATGAGTTGAGCACGAAAGGTCACAGTGAATCAATCCGGGCCTGGGTTTGCAAAAATGTGAATAGAAGGTACTCAGTCATGGTAGCTCCCTTCTGTGAGAAGGTTATTAAAGTTCACTGGAAAACAATTTCCCCAATCTCACATTTATAATTGAATACTGCTGTTGTGGGGTTTCAATGAGATGAAGTATGTGAAACTGCTTCGTAAACTCTGTAGAATAAAAAGTCTGAAAGGACCTGCGCAGCTATTAACGGTGCTTCATGCTAAAGAATGGGATTTTGGAGGAAACATCACTCTCTTATTTATACCCTTTTCGAATGTTTGCCTTTTTAAAGCTACAGTAATGCATGATGTCCCATTAGAGATTTTGTGTAAATGAGAAAGGGACAAATATATAAACAGATAAACAGAAACACCAGACACAATGGGGGAGGGGAATAGGGGCGTGCCTAAGGGGACTCCTTATGAAAGCAACAAACACCCCTACTTCTTATCTGGTCCTTAAGAAACCCTCACCCTGCTGTTCCCGTCTTCTTCGTTGTTCTTATTCCGTCTCCAGGCCTCCTTGGGACTTGAGAGTCAGAAGATTGGAGCTCTAACTCTAGCTAGGCCGGTGGTGGGCTATTTGAGGCTGGGTCCATGCTTTTAAGCTTATCAAGCCTCCTCTCTTAAATAGAGGTCTCTGAAGATTAAATGAGATTGATAACAAAAGCACCCCCAAAAATGCACATCCACAAACAAGGATAAGATGGAACATTATTTATTTACTTTCCATACTAGCTTGTCTGTGTCAACATTTGTGCAACTGACATCCCATTGCCTCAGGACCTTGTTTTCTGTAGTTAATCTGATAAAGTACACTCTGCTCCTGTGTTAGGAGGTGCTAATGAGTTAACTTAGTACCCTTCTCAGGTAATATATTTACATTTGGAAGGAACTAAAAGATTTTCCTACTTACATTTAGGAAGGGGAGGAGATGCGCACGAGCTCTGTATTCGTTGTTTGTAAAATCCACTCAATGAACCTATGAGGTGTGTCCACATGCAAGATTTCATAACAAGTACTGGCTACCTGTTCGTGGATCAACTCCTCAGGGAAATACTAAGGTTATAATGTGATCAAAGCAGAAACAAGCATCATTATTTGGAAGTTGCATCTCAGGAAAAAAAGGTGTAGCTTGCAGTTCAACTGCGTTGTTTAGTGCTTTGTTTATTTTAATAATGAGTAATCAGGATTATAAAAATGTGTATGCAACTCAAAGCTAATGATAGTACTGGAGCAGACAAGAAAAGGACTCTCTCTCTCCCCTTCTCTCTCTTTCTAAGTTAAAAAAGGAAAAAGAAAAGAATATGTATAGTGAACCTCTAGATGGCAGATTCAATATAGAGTCAACATTTATCAAAATTTTCCCTCACTTGTTTCCTC